TCATTGGGGTATCCCCTCGTGCATGCGAATGATCGCAGGTCGCAGTGAAAGACCTCCCGCCCTCCTGAAGATAGTAGGGATTTCACACCTACAATCAAACAGGTTACAAGAGGACCTTTGTGTGTAACTAATCATCAGCAAATGAAGGGAGAATAATCGAGTACTTTTGCCAAACAAATTTTTGAATTTCGGCGCCCATAATTTTGGGACACCCTGTATATTGTTTCCGTTGCGCTTTTATTTTAAACCCACCACTTTTTCTCCACTCGAAAAATCCCCAATTTGATATTAGAAAGGCACTGCCTAATTGAAAGTAGGCGTTTGATTTGATATCCCAAAGTGGTTTTGAAAAAACGTCCGGCCTGATTGGGAAGATGTCCAGATGAAAAAAGAAATGGTATAAACGCGAAGCGAAAAAAAGCGAAAGAAGGAACTAACGAACACAAGATTGTAGTTGTCAACGGAGAAGTCATACACTTTGGCGTCATAATTAGCGCAAGGCAACTCTGTGCAAGTAACATCGTCGGCTGCGAAATGTAGACCGATGTAAGCACGAATTGCGAAGTCCGCCAATTTCTCATCGAAAAAGAATTCATGGATGACTTTGTGCACCCATGGACTAGAGCTGTACAAATCCTTCGGATTCATGCCACTGTCCATCATCTTCTCAAACAGAGTGCGCAGCTTGGCCACTGCATCGCTGACCGACAGAACTTCTTTCATGTCTCTATCCGTCAGATTAACCTTTTCAATGTCCCAGACAATCTGAAAAAGTCAAAGTTCGGAGGGGACATGCACTGATGTCAGAAAACGGTGAACTTGCCTTGTTGAGGAATTTCCTGTACTTCACACGACTATTCTGCAATAGGAGTTGCCTAGCTTGATTACACACCTCATCGGTGTGGAACATATTACCGATTTCTCGAAGATTGTTGATAAGTGGTGTGACCTGCAGATGGAAACGTAGGAATTCATGAAAAAAGATATCCACACAAAGAGATTCACAAAGAAAAAACTTACCAGGTGCATTCCACGTTTTTCGATTGCTTTCAGCAAGGCCAACATCAGCTTGTTCTTCCCTTTTAGCTGAGTGTGCGAATAAATCATTGCGACCACACGATCTTTGTCGGCGCCAAACTAAAAAAGTTTTTTTTTTCAATTTTGTCGCTTTATTTTTGATCTCCTCTATTTGAAGCTGAAATCGTGCCAAACACATAACGTATTTTGGGCCTTCGGGTCCGAGCGAAAAAACAGACGCCTCCTAGTGGTTGTGTTTCGACATCTAAATAACGGCGTGCGAGCAGGTATTGAAACGTCAATTAACACTTTAGAAACCGCGCTCATTGTAAGGTGCCATAGTGGTGGACCACCACTACTCTGGAAATTGCAATTTTTGACGAGTTTTTTCAAAAACTTTTTTTGCAGGTAACACGTCAAAAAAATGATCATGGCAAACAGGCAAATTTGCAAGGGGAAGAGCCGGTGAATTAGACTGCAAGATCTGTCGAAATCGAGAAATCGCAGCCCATACGATAGCTGCATGTCTAAACTGTTGAGTGGATCACTACTGTTGACCACTTACGGTCGCTGTACGAACACAAGCGTATATTCAGAACACGCCTCATATTAAACGTTGCAATTAACCACACAATCGCACATGTAATGATTAGATCCTCCCAAAACCTTACATGTGACCGCACCCACCTTTTACTTGGTTAGATGAGCACCTTGGCTCCGCCCCTTCTACTGCAGGATACAAGGAGACGAGTTTTTCGAGTTGTTCTCATTCACAAATTCCATTCTTTGGGCGTAACTTTGCACATGATCTCTACGGCCCAACACAAACCATTTTACGGGCAACAGATGAAGCGATGTATAGCGCAGGTGAATTCACGCGCTCTGGTTGCTGAGCAGGACTTCGAAAGCACTCCAAAAGCGATCCGCCCACTAGTTTAGTTGGTGATTTGGACGAGCTGCGTTGCCAGCAGCGGCACAACTGGAGCAACTCGATTGGAGCGTGGTTTGGCATGGTGCCACCAAACGCGTTGCGGTGAACTCGTTCATACGTCCGCTTTCTGAGCTGTTACCTGTTCATGAGTGAAAACCAACGGCCAAAAAAGGGGTCCCGTTTTGTTTTCTTGACGGATTTCTCTGCTTTTTCGCCACTGGCGTACCACTGAGCACCACCTCGTCTCTCTGAACCCTCCTACAAATTATCGTAATCGCTGCCTTTAAGTGTGGCAAAAGAGTGATGGGAGAAGCCACCCGCTAGCAAGTAGTAAACAATTCGTATTGCGGTATCAATCTGAACATTGTGAGGAAACTAAGCTTCGACCATAGAGCTACGGAAGAAAGAACTGAGGTAGTACCTACCTCCTCATTCAAAAGAGCAACAGCATCGTCGTAAACGCGACCTTCGAAGAATCTTTCGCACTGTTTGTACTCATCAAGCAACGAGTTGAGCACATAACCAGTATTTGAAAGCAGACCATTCTCAAACCTTCATAACGGATGTTCAAATATTCTATGTTGAAGCGATAAAAAGCAGTGAATATCACAGACGATTAAACTGAATACCAACCTTTCGCAAATTTGATATACTGTGTTACACACAGCTTTCGCCATCTCCCATTCTGTATGACTCAGCGAGCCAAAATAATCGTCGAGAATCGACTAAATATGACTTAGTTCTGGAATCTTTCAGTAATGGAAATGCAAAGTGTCAAAACTACTAAACCTTAATCAGCGCGAAGTTTCCCATAGAATCCACCTCCGCAATTTCTTTTATTTTCGTACAATATTTTTCAGGAAGACGGTTCACCATTGGATTAAGTGCTTGCTAAACATTCTGTCATAAACGTGATGCAAAAATCAGCACGTTTACGAAATGTTACAAAATGCAGTACCTTGAAAAGTGCAAACGGCAAAGTTGAGCTTTCAAGGTAGCAAAAAAGCTCCTCAACAAGATCGTCCATGCTAAAATCGGCACCTGGAGGGATAGAACCTTTCAGCACGTTCATGCACATCTGAAATTTACGCCATTTCTTAGAAATCACTCAAGGTGCTAGTGAAGCTAGCGTAGTATCTAGGATGATGTTTCAAGCTCACATCAAAACACCTGCCATGCCTCTTCGTCTCAGGTATAACATGTTCGTTGTCAGGTAACTCAGTCCATTCGGGAAACGATTCGAGGAAGGGCCTTGGTCTATATTTCTCACCATCCTTCTGGTCGATCAGACGAGCAATCACGGAACCAGGGTAGAGCAGATCGCCCTCTTTGGCGACGTGTTCTAATCTAAATGTTAGAAATGGCTTGCCAGAACAGAACTTATGTTAGAAATGGAAATTTGTTAACGCACCTCCCAGGAGCCTTCTTCACCTCAACGTTGAACACCAGCTTCATTGACTCAACGGAAGCATACACTGCACCAACGCCAACCCATTCCTAAAGAAACAACACATTTTTCATCTGCTGAACAACGTGTAGTAAAATTTGTGCCCCCATACTGCGGCAATAATTAAAACGAAAACAAATCAAAAATTGCAATAACAACATAACGGGTCTCATCCAGTAAGGGGGGGGGGGCATTGTGATGCAACGTCAAGTGGCTGCCCTCACCCCCACCCCCTAGACTGCCTTCACTCCCCCTGGCTCACGGGGTCCCGTACTTCGAGAAACCTGTGCGCCAGGGGAGTGTAGGGGGGGGGAGGGTGGGGGTGAGGGCAGCCACTTGATGCCCCCTTACTTGGATGAGACCCAACATAACTTCAGGCTTCGCCATTCAATACCGATAAAACCAGCGGATAAAATCATCATCTGTAAAAGCTAAACTTGAAAGCGTCCGGCTCAGAGAGCAGCTCAGTCTATATCGACCTCAAAAACGTTTACCGATAGCTTTTCACACTAAATATATACCCTAGCGCAGACGGGCCTAATTTGAAGAGAGTTCAAGCTAAAAAAGCAAGCTCTCAAGCGCACCTCAACGTTCTTAATCGTTTAAGATCCCTTTTTGTAAACTGTGATACGCCTGTGGCGAAAGTTGTTACCATTGCACAAACTTTCTCCCATAGTATAGGTCTGAAGATGCTGTGTTTCGAAATTACATGGGTTCATATGTCGGTTGTTCTGAAACCACTCCCAAAAAGATGAACAGTGCCCTTATTAACACGTTGACGACAACGCGCGTTTTGGGTTTTTGCGCCGCGTGGGACCACGGCGATTTTGCAGGCGCCGCCGCCTCACATAAAATCCGTGAATTTTGAGCTTTAACTACGCAAAACTCGGATGCAACAAAATGTTTCGAATGATATTCGATGTATCAAACTTATCAGAAGGAACAACTGTAAAAGTTCGATCGAATTGACGTTTTCTGGCAATGAAAAGGCAAGTTTCAGTTGCTTTTGCTGTAGTGAACCTCAAAATTATTTTTGACGCGGTTGCTCCACTAAAAACATATATCTTGCTATATGTGTAGGTCTGTACTTACTTCTACTACTCTTTTTTATGACCAAGGTTGTCAGAATATAAAGAAAACTAGGAATGAACACAATTGGGAAATTCGTAGGACTTGGAAACCTTTCGCTAAAAAGGAGCATATTCAACCATTCGATGAACCTCGCCGTGTCTAGTCATATTATGGTGTGGTCTATAGAATAGATGCAAAAAATTAGAAAAGAAGTAGCGCATGCGCGAAAAAAATTAATAATTTGTGTGCTGCACGCGGTCCTCACAACGGTGTGAAAGCGCATGCGCTGCACAATGTCGTCAACATGTTAAGTTTAGTTTCAGCTAAGGCAGAAGCTATGCCTTAGGTTTAGGCCAGTTCCTCCTCTGATACAGGGGAGAGGAAGAGCCGACAATCAAAAAGATATTGGTGACTGTGTCGTCACCATTAATGGCCGACCAAGGCTTTGTGGCCTGTGAACGGTTGTAGTGGCAAATCTGGCGCCTGCTGGACGCGCGCGCACGGTCCAGGGATTCGAATCCTGGGTTCCTGCGCCCGCCCGGGCCAACCAAAGCCTTCCATCCCTCCGGGGTCGGTTAATTGGTACCAGACTTGTCTGGGAGGATAAAAACACTGACTTGTACATCGGCTGGCCCCCGCAAGTCATTGTATAGGCCACATCGCATTCAAACGCCACTACGAATGTACAAATGGAAGTAGAATGCGTGCCGCATCCCAAAAAGGGATTGATCAACGGCAAATGCTTTATATCCTTTTATTTATCGTATAACGCCGTTCTTTTATTGACAACTATCCAAACCGGGGATGCCGCACAAGGACCCAGAATCTCTGCAGGTTGTTCTTGGAAAATTCTGATATGTGTCTAAAGACCAATACTTTCACATCCTAATGATCAGCCACAGCGACTGAAAGCCTTGTACTATAACTGGCAGAGAGCGGCGGGGGGGGGGCGGGGGGGGGCGCTGGCAGAGACGGATAGGAATCAATGTTATTGGCAATCAGAATTCAAACTTATGAGTTTTTTGCCATGTCGATTTTTTACGACATTTGGCACTATTCCACTATTACTGGCAAATTCTCAAAATTTTATTTTTTTAAAAAAAAAAAAAAAAAAAAAAAAAAAAAAAAAAAAAAAAAAAAAAAAAAAAAAAAAAAAAAAAAAAAAAAAAAAAAAAAAAAAAAAAAAAAAAAAAAAAAAAAAAAAAAAAAAAAAAAAAAAAAAAAAAAAAAAATTTATAAGGTTATTTCGATGCCTGATTACGAATATGACATTTATTTTTGAGGCTTGCGCCATTTGGCGCCCATTTTCTGCTCGTCTGCGCCCTCGCACTGGGTTGATCACTATCAGGACTAAGCCCTTGGGGAAAGGAGGGCTCAGAGGTGAGTGAGCCACTCACCCTGATATCACACACTTCAACTTTTGTCACATGCTGCGTGGTTTACCCACCTCGGAGTCCTCCTTCTCCAATAAGCTTAGTCTTAAGCACAACGTGTGAGTGAGAGAGCCCAGGAGAGCAGAAAATATGCGTTAGACAGCGCCAATTCCAAAAACGATTGTCATATTCGTAATCAGGACACCAAATAACCCCTATTTACAAGTTTACACCGAATTTCGTGAAAACAGCCGTCGTGACAAGGTGGCGCCAACTGGCGCCAAATGGCGCCAGCATCAAAAATGAATGTCATATTCGTAATCAGGGCATCGAATTACCCTTATAGGCAAAGTTTCGACGAAAAATAAAATTTTGAGATTTTGGGGCAGTAATAGTGGAATAGTGCCCGACATTTCAATGCGCTCACGGAGCTGGATTCCGTTCACACTGAGTTAACGTTATCCGAAAAAAAAAAAGAATTCGACTACTGTAAACAAACCGTACATAGAGCATAACCAAAGACTTACCCTATTTTGTTTTTTGTATCCCAACAGCTTCCCAGTGTAGGGCGATTTGAGAATGCTAGGATCATTATCCTTTTCGAAAACCACTATTGATCGGCCGATGGTCACCTAAACAAAATTTTAAGGACATTCCAGGCACATTCCAGTTGAACTCAATTGGACCCACCTTGAACTTGTCAGAAGTCTCCTCCAAATTGCAGGTGTAACTGCGCTCCTGATGAGTGACAAGCAAGCTTCCGTCACCCAAGAGACGAATTTCCACTTGCGTTTTCCCACCATTCATGGAAACTATATAATTGAGAGCTCCACTGCGAGTTACCGTCACCTTGTAGATACTCATATCTTTGACTAGATCAAAGAGGAACGTCTCTGTCAAGTCCTTTGTGGGGAGAACCTACAACGAAAAATGCATAGAACAGCCAGGTGATGGCGAAAAACGACGAAGATGGTAAAAAATGACTCCAACCTGCCCTCGCTCAACAGCATTTCTGAAATTGTTGAAAGCTGTAGTCACCCTTGCATGACCAATAACGGCGCTGCTTATAGCGATCATTTCGTGTTTAGGAAGAGGCACTTTCTAAAAGCAAGACCAGCCTTTTAAAAAACAATAACAATTTATTGGTAAGGGTGACCAACAAACTTGGAGGATTTTATTGGCGATGCGGTTATCAAGCCATTGAGTATTGAAGCGGTTTTCCGTAAAATCTGGCTCCTTCAGCATGTCAACTAGGTAAGACACTTGAGAGGCGAACGAAGCACGTAATTCCAATTCTTGTAAGGCACACAACATCACAGAGACAGCTTCGTGACTGCAAAACAATAGCAAGATGAGATAAACGACCTATTCTCAAATGCACTGCACATACACAAGAAACCAACCGAGTTCGACCGCGAGCAAACAGATGACCGAACTGCGAATCCGCAAACTCGTGCACTTTACCAGCACTAGAAACCGAGAAGTAACCCCAAACGTTTTGAGCGGATCGGAAATTCAGCACCTCTACCGATCCAGTAGATGGTCGGAAGAAGTCCTCAGGATCCTAAAATTGGTTCATTTGTAAGAATCGGTAATCAGAAAAGCTCGATACGTCTGTGACCGTGAGATTTTTCGCGTTTATGCACCACTTGCTTATTTTAGGCCTGCTTTGAGTTGTAACAAAAGTGGAGAGTAAAATCGCTGTGCAAATAAATATTACTAGTGACTTTGTAAGAATACGAATTCAGTTTATACAAATAAAAAATCAAAGGTGAATAAAAATCTGCGTATCAAAATCTTGAGATTTCTTGAGAAAAGGACATATTCCCGCAAGGCATAAAAATGTCGCTTGGCGTCAAGCGATATCGCCTCTAAAGTGAGCCCATTGATGAATATGATCCCGTGGTTCTGAGCTTTCGCTACCAGCCAGATTTGTTCCCTATGTTCAGGTTACCATGTGAAGAAATCCCCATGATTGACCCCCCATTGATTTACCTCGATTACCATGCGCTTACTTCGAAGTCAAAATTTGCCCAGGCCAACTAAACCATCCATACCCAACAAGGCAATGCACAGGTCAGATCACATCTTCAACGCCATCACGACTCCAGGTAGAAGTCGAATTCATAACTGCCCGTGCCTGATCCAGTGCGAGAGCAAAGGCTCCTTCTCTCAATCTATGTACACTGCGTTTCACATCCAGAGTCAGCACCCCGCCATCTCCTGTAAGTAATCCAAACTTGCGTGCCACTCCCTTTTGAAAAATACCCACGGTACCCCAAAATCGCAATTTCTTATGAACGAAAACAAAAAAAAATGTCCCTCACCAGCACTTTCTACCCTTGAGTACTCAAATCATTTTTTCGGACACACCCATTTTTGCTTCACCAACATCATCACTACACCCCCATCAATCGCGTGCGCCAAACTTTCTTACATACAAAACACGTTTCCAAACTCCTGATCAGTATCGGCCGCATCCTGCATCAATCATCAGTGACCCACATTACACCCCCCGTTCTGAATGCTTGCATAACAGCGTGAATAATGTCCGCACCTCCGACATTCCTCGAACCATGCTCTCCCCCTAACTAATGTGAGACGTATCGCCCCAGCCGACACATCCGCGCGCGCGCCAGCGCAGAAGCCACCCCAGCACCCGCCCACCCGCATGCAAATGTTACCGTCCGCCGAATGCAAGATCCGTGTCTGACGCCGCGCAGAGAAATCCTCGGACGTCGCCCGTCCGCAGGAATCCCTCCAAGCGAACCACTCATCACGCCCCTGCCTTGCAACCCAAGCTAAACCTCTATTCCGTACATTAGATCAAAACTTGTCTTAATGCGCCGACTAACCAGACCGTTTCAACCCCAGATCTCGACCATGCTCCCATTCTTTGTCTTGCTTGCGCTTAAACCATTTCTTTGACACATGAGGCCTCGCCATGATTCTCCATCGCCGTAAATCGTGTCCCACAGAACATGTCGGTCGCTCATTTGCAGAACGTCATATTTCTATCTTTCACTTCATAAGCGTCCGGCATCAAAGATTAGCCGCGTTTGCAGCGCGCTAACAAATCTAACGGATCCGAAGGGCGGGCTTGATTGAGAAAAGTAGCTTCAAAAGAATCTTATGGTGTTTTATAACCTTCTATTCTATTCCCACTTCAAGGCTCACCCCCGAGCTAAAAGCTTACTCGCCTGGCGCCGATCAACCCTGGACACTCCAATGAGGAGCGTAGCGTCAAAGATCGCGGAGTCTCGCATCAGCACACACTTTTGTCCAATCAGTCGGGTGTCACGCCGCGAACGCCGGAGACCTGCATCTCCCGTGGCGCTCCGCATCAACCATCTTAGGACCGTTTTTCACGCAATCAGCTAAGGCTTGTTTAGACACTCCTAATCGATACCTGCTCGCGAATGTAAACACTTATCCGACTCTACACTCGCATCCATATCCCCGATTCCTATTCTCTATTACATACAATACAATGAGAAAATGGCAACTTTTCAAATCGAGCTGTCCCTAATACCATAAAACCGGTGCAAAATCATCCCTGAAAAAGTTGTTTTAGGTTACTTTAGATGAAAACATTCTTAATAAAAAAACATTATCAAGATTTCTCGTCATGAGGGAACCAATAATGATCAATCAATATTTTTGAAAAATGCCACAACAGCCAATTTGTGGTGAACTCGAGGAAACACTTCTGCCGCCAGAATGGGAACCCTTTCACTCTCAGAAATATAATAATTGCAGCTTGAATGTATTACATTACCGACCCATAATTAACAGGCCAATAATTCGGCACTGCTCATATGACCTGCTAGACGCCACCAACCTAATTTTATCACTCTAAGACGAACTAAAGATAATTCCTGCCAATTTTTCACCTGATGTAAAGCTTTTCTAAAAAGATGTTAACGGACGTGTATGCAATGAAAGCTTTTATATTCGTCCGGTACTTGCTCAATAAATTATACCCACTCTCCTCATCAAAACCATCCGAAAAGCATGACATGTTAACTCGCCACATCTGAAAGCACACACCATACGCGTTACAATCTTGCGAACACTGTGCCCTTACCACTTCCGCAAGCAAACGCGGCCACTACCATCGACACCGCGGGCCTCGCGCTTTTTATCAGCAACGCCGAGGCACACCAGAGCTTGCCGTATACACTCACACCTGCGAAATCGCCGACCTCTACACCGCGATGACCATCACCGTACGCGCACCTAGCACTTCCGTCCCATCTCCACCAAGCCGGCTTCACCCCATACCCTGTCACTCGACAACACCTCGCAGCGCCGTATCACCGCCACTCCGTCTTATGCTTCCCCATAACACTCTTCGAATTTGAGCCGTCTCTGGAGTTTTCCTTGTCACAGAGAACTCGTCATTAGAACGCCACTTAGACCAAGCCGCACTCACAAGTAGGTTCACAAGGTGGTGATGTCCTTTCCTTAGTGGTGCCACTGGGAACTGCCCAGTTATGTAGGCTGAGCTGACCACGGACATAAGAATGCAGGCGGCAGGCTCCCCGTGACAGGGGAGCCTACGAACACCCACGTCACATCACAAATGTCAATGTATTTTTCGAAGGTGATCATTACTGATTACTGGCTTGTGGAAGAAATCATTCGATTTCTAGATTTTGGCGAAGACCTGCCCATGTTGCAATACCATTGCACGGAGGGAAGGAGCCTGCGACGGCAATGCATCACTCCAAATCTTAAAGCCGTTCACGAACTTACAGTGAATCAAATCCGGAAAGGACCTAGGACAATGTAACTCCAAACGTACAGAGCGATACGAACGACACCATAAATCCAGCCCGCATGGTGCAGAGATATAATGAGGTAGAAATAATAAAAGCAAAACCAGCTCTAATAAATTCTGAATAGCTCCAAAACCTTTCGAAAATTGTCTTTAATTGGAAAAGTTGGCCACCTTAGTAGGGGTCATCCTTCCTTCAGCCGAACAATTAAATCTCACCATTCAGCAAACCAAGGCAGGAAGGAAAAATGTTAGAAATTTCGGGGTTTTTTGACGTACGGCGAAACTGTGAAGTCCTCAGGTTTGACGAAAGAAATTCACTGTTTGAGTAGCTAAAACTTTTAGAATAGCCTTCAACATATTAACCCTGCTCTCAAAACCATTCGAGGTTAAAAAACCCGCAAAAAGTCCGTTCCCTAAAAATTTAATGATTTGGAAATTTATCAGTGCTTGTACAAGCTCCATTGATTTTTTCTCGGTAAAATCATGAAAACAAATGAAATAACCATGAGGTTATGAGCTTTTGTTTTTCTTTTCTTATATTCCTCTTTTCTCCTGACATGTGCTTGCAAATGTAATGAAATTGAATTGAATTGAAAACACCTAATGAATAAAGTGGTGCTCCCTCAACTCCCTCAGCAACTTTCTTACAGCAAGAAAAAAGTTTCACTTTCAGCACTTGTCGGTAGAAAAAATACCACGTACCTACGGAAACTATCTCTACTACGTCCTCGTACTACAGCTCCAACAGGCAGATACTCAATGTAAGGCATCCTCTGAAAAGAAAACTCGGATATAACCCGAGAAACAGCTTTTGAAACAACTTAGACTCTGTGGTCACCGAAATTTCATTTGGACATTGACACCCATGACAATTCCCAGCACGAGAGTGAAACCTTTGGCTGAAAAAATACCTTTGGACTTTGTATCAAAAAAATTATAAGGGCATTTCGGAGCAGGCGAGCGACCACAAGTGACAGCAAGTATGGTCAAGTAATACTATTATATTAACACATTGGCGACAATGTCGCCCGATGCCGGGCGACACCCTTGAATTTTATTCCTTTGCGCATATTCCAAATTTTGAGCGGTGCTATATTAACCCGGAATACGTTGTCAAACTTGTAATGGCCACGTTCTTTGAACATCTTTCACAGTGAAAGTTTTACAGAAGGGTTGCTTGGAATTGCTTCTTCAGTGATAAGGTTGTTCTTTCTTGATGTAGAAAGCTGCCTTTTTGTATGCTATTAGCTAGCTCAATGATACAACAATTGGCAAAAAAGAGATTTGTGTTCAACCTCATTTGTGGATTCTACAGTGGAAAATTGGAATTTTCCGAGAGCGTTCCGAAGTTTCACCTTTGCGGGACGGGGAGATTTTTGCTTGGTTTGCAGCCATTAAGCATTTGTACGAGACAAATGATGTTTCAGCAGTTTCCGCATTGTGTTCTCATTGATTTGGTATGTACACCGTATGGAAGCGTTTCAGCATTAGGACGCAATTTTCGGAACACCCAAAAACTGCTTGGTCGCCAATGTGTTAATAAGATGTCATTGAAAAGCCTTGGGTTATTACTATCACGTACTTCCCAAAATTGTAAAAGCAACAGTCGCAATAGCAGGGTGGGCGTGGTTGGAAACGATGCAATAGTCTCTCGACTGATTTCGGCCGCACTTAGCTCCCTGTTAACGGCTTTTCAAGGTGATTTTTGTTACAGGTCTCACTATTTGACTTTCTTTGACTGGCTGTGACGATCGCTAAAGTGGGATCGAGGACAAGGGGAA